GGAATCCATTGTCATTTTACCCCTTTCATTTCTAATTGCATGATTTTGGGTCTTTTCTTTCCTTATTTTGATGAGATTGGCTAAGGGTTTGTTTACTTTATTCTTTCAGAGAGCCAAGTCTTCAATTCATTGATTCTTTGTATTATCTTTTAATTCTCAATTTCATTAATTTCTACTGTGATCTTTATAATTTCCTTCCTCATACTACCATTGTATTTGGATTGTACTTATTTTTCAGGGACCTTTAAGTTCATCATTAAGTTATTTGAACTCGCTCTTTTCTGATGTGGGCAATGGCCATTATAAATGTGTCCTGCATCACTTCCGACGTTTTGTTCTGGCATTATCATTTGATTATAAGAGCTGTCTGACTTCTTCCTTAATTTCATTTGTGACCCATCGGTTATTTTAAAAAATTTTGTTTAATTTCCACGTTTTTAAGTGAAATAAACCAGCTGCACATGTATAAACATTGTATCATCTCCCTAGAATGAGAAGCTAAAAGAGTAAATAAGATCCAAAATGTACAATAGATATCGTAAAGTGGGACAAAGCATAAAATGAAAGACAAACTAGTTTGGGGGAATGGAGAAAAGAAAGAGAAAAGCAAAAAAATCCTCAAAAACCCAAATACACACACACACACACACACACACACACACACACACACACACACGTATAACTTTTAGCCGTCTTGTACACCCCACACACGTACGTATAACTTTTAGCCGTCTTGTGTGTGTGATATATATATATATATACATACACATACAGTTAAGATAGTTATACTATTAATTCCTCTTAGTTCCTTGAATAGAAAAGTTTGTGCTAATGTTGTTTGGACAATCAGATGCCCATATTTTGTACTCTAACAAATTTAAAGATAACTATGTGCGCTGTATTAGCCATTGTTACCCTCTTACTAGTTGTTTTGAAATTTGGGCTTTTTTCCTCTTTAAAATAAAATTTTTAAAAATCCCATATGTTTTGTCATTTCTGTGGTTCCTTTTGCAGTTGTTCCATAGTTTTATGTACTGTGATATAATAATTTGCATGGAATAATTTGAGTTCTTTTGCCTTTATGTAAGCATGCTTCATGGGCTACCAAATGGCCTGTTTTGGAGAAAGTCCCATATGTTACTAAGAAGAATACATAGTCTGTTATTAGAGGGAACATTCTAGATATATACAGTGATTCCTTGAGCCATGCAATTAGTTTTACAGTTTTGGAAAAGATGACCATATTTGTGTCTGTGCTGGAAAGATAATTATCATGATGTTTGTCAACTGATACAGAGTTTGCAAACAAAATCAAAGTTTTGCCAAACACTTGTTTGTGAACCATATTGTTCCCAAACAAGGGCATTCATGAGCCAAGGTACAACTGCATTGTCTGTTTATTTGAAGATTTGGTTCAACTCCTGATACTTCTTTTTTTTTTTTTTTTTTCCTTTGTCTAGTTGCTTTGTCTGTTTGTGATCATGGAATCTTGAAGTCTTTAATTACATGGTGTTTATCTGATTTTTTTATGTCCATTTGTTTTTGCTTTATGAAGTTAAGTACATTGATGTTTGGTGTTATATTATCATTCTCTTTTTATTGAGTTGTTCCTGTGATCAGTGACTCTTAAAAGTTTTCTTCGTCTCTTTTGATGGGTTTTGGTTTAAAATTCATTTTGTCTGAAATTAGGACAATTACTCCTACTGTTTTTGCAGGTTCCCATTGTATTCTTTTCCATCCTTTACTTTTTCTTCTTATATCTCAACCTGAGTCGTTGTCATCCAAAGGCTCCATCACAATCATCCACTCAATCCTTTGCTTTTTCTCCCAAGGTGTGTTTAGTAGAGAAAGTGGACAGAACTTTGTTATTCACTTTTTAAAATGAAGTATAACAGACAGGTACTCATTAAATATTGTTTTGATGAATGTCCCTTAGCAGACTTTTCCTTTAAAAATGGTAGTTAGTTGGTAGCAAGGTGTGTTAGCATGTCGGTAGCCACTACTTTAGCTATTGGGGAGGTTGAGGCAGGAGGATCATATGTCCAGGATATTGAGGCCAGACTAGGCAACATAGTATGACCCATTCCATAAAAGGAAAAAGATAGTTTCTGGTAGATCAGCATTTATTTTCACTCTTCTATCACCAGATCATTTCCTATCAAACACCTTATAATATGTAATATTTTAAAAGAATTTTTTATTTCTATTTTGTAGGATTTTTTGAATTACTGTAATATTCCTAAAATTTTTCTTATGTAAGACTTAGATATTAGTCAAGTCATATGAGATAAATAGTACAGTAATCTAAGCAGCACATTTAAAACCAGTAATCCTTGTTGATGGGGTGGAGATTGAACTGTAATAAAAACAGCATTAATCTAATGGGTTGTAGGATTAAAATTACTATAAAATTTCTGTTCCCTTTTTTTTTTCATGCTACCTGAAACATTTGTAATAGACTGTACTTTTTGACCACTTGGGAGATCCTACTGTAAGTTGCTATCAGGTATCATCATTGCTTCTACATGCTTACAGGTTGTGCATAGTTGAAACCCAAATAGATTTTCTAGACAAAATTGAAATTTGAAGGAAAAGTACAAACCCAAAACTGACTAAAATATATAAACTTCTCTCATACGGTTTGTTAGCAGTCCCTAACATTTTTGGTATTAGACTGGTTCATGAAACACAATTTTTCAATGGCTTCAGGGTGGGGTGACAATAGTGGATGTCTGAATGATTTAAAGGACCATGAGATTTAGATTCCAGCATGCCCAGTTCACAGTAGGGTTCCGGGTCTTACGAAAATCTAATGTGGCCACTGACCTGACAAGAAGCAGAACTTGGGCAGTAATGGCAGCGCTGGGAAGCAGCTGCAAATAGAGGTGAAGTTTGGCTTGTTCATCTCCAGGTGCGTGGCCCATTTTTTGATAGTCCATTGACCAATCTGGGCACCTGTTATGTAAGTTAACATATAAAAAATACTGACGTTCAACATTAAATCGTAACCAAACTTAAAAGCTAAGTGGAATTCTTAATCAGTGGTCTCTTAGTGTTACTTTATAATTTTTATTTTTGTGCAGCAAAAATGTTCCCAGTGACACATTTTAAGCTCTTACATTTGAAGCCAGAATTAGTAATCATTGACATGAACTCTTTAAGAGTAATGCAGAAAAAATGTCAAAGATGAAGCAAGACATAATCAATAGTAATATTAAAAGAATTTCTGCTAGGCATCAAGCCTTTTGATACTTAGAAACAAAGTACTTAATAGTCTTTGTATAATGCATTTTTAAGCTTTAAGTGAATGATAATTAACCCTTGGGACATAAGACTAATTTTGTCATCAAGGCACAGGAACATGTCTGATAGACCCCATTTATTCCTTAGAATATTTCTATTGATAAATTATTAATGTTAATTTTATGAGTTTTATTATATTAAACTGTGTTTAACAGGAAAAAATCACAAAATTATTGAGTTTTTAATATTACTGTTTATTAAAAAAGCATCAATTTTCAACATCGACTGGTTTTTGATGCACAAAGTCTAAACAAGAACATCAGAAATAAATTGCTATTTGTTTCCAAGATCTGGCTATTACAAATTCAATTTGCCTATCAACCAAGAATGAGTAAAAAAGATGTGGTATTTTTATACAATGAAGAACTACTCAGCTATAAAGAAGGATAAACTCAAGGCTTTTATAGGTACCTGGATGCAACTTGAGACCATACTCATAAATGAAATAGATCAGACTCACGTGTTAACAACATGTTGTCTCCCTAGTGAAAAAAACTGAAAGAGTAAATAAGACCCAACAAGTACAGTTGATGTTGTAAAAGGACAAGAAACTGCCCAAAGAAAAAGAGCAACTTGGATGGGGGAAAGGAGAAAAGAAGGAAAGGAAAAGTAAAAAAAAAATAAATATGTGTGTATGTATATATATGTGTATGTGTGTATACACACATAAACACAAGACAATTAAGATTGTATTACTAATTCTATTAGTTCAAGGAAAGGAAGAGTTAGTGCTCATATTATTTGTTCAATTTTGCATGCCTGTTATCTGGTAATCTGAGTTATTTTTGAAAATAACAATATGCAATATAACTATCATTGTTAAATTCCTATCTTGTCTTGAAATTCTATATCACTATCATAGGGTTTTGTTGTTATTTTCTTTTGGTTTTTGTTTTTTCTGTTTTTTTCTCTTTAAAATTAAAAAAGTGGGAAAAAAGGAAAATCATTTATGAACTACAATGAAAATGCCAACAGCATTCTACAAAAAAAAAAAAAACATTGTTTACTTCAACTATAACACGTAAGGCAGTCTGCACACAGGACAGCACAAATTCCATATACACATATTGCTCATAGGTGACAGCACATGTGGTTTTCCTGGCCTTTTTGTAGGACATACTTGACATCTCAGTTTTGTCAGGAGGTCCTATAATACAGTGTGTAGTTGAAAAAAATACAAAAAATGTACATGGAGCATACCGTCCTGTATGCAGGCTGCCTTAGGTGTTAAAGTTGAAGGAACATAAAATATCAATAAAATAAATTATTAAATTCTTAGTATGTATTATGCATTTAAAACAGACCAACATTTTCACATCAGCTGAGTACTTAGAAAATCTAAAAGATAACATTAGAAATAAATTTCTATATGAGCTACAATGAAAACTCTAATAGAAGTTCTATTACAAAATAAGCTTTGCTGGGGCTGGGGATTTAGCTCAGCGGCATAAGCGCCTGCCTTGCAAGCAGGCAGTCGTGAGTTCAATCCCTAGTACCGATAGAAATGAAAAAGACCAAAAAAAAAAAAAAATTAAAAAATAAGTGATATATAGAGATAAAGTATATCTTAAAAAAAAAAAATAAGCTTTGCTTCAACTGTTACACCCCAGGCAGTCTTCATACATGACAATTGCATGTTCATACAGAAGTATCACTTACATTGATGGCGTGTATGTTTTGTTTTCCTGTTTTCATAGGTCTTTGTGATGCTGTGCCTGCCTGCTCACCTGTCAGCTCACCATTGTGTTCCACAATTATTATTATTACTATTTTTGGTACCGAGATTGAACTCAGGACCTAGCGCTTGTCAGGCAGGAACTTATGCCGCTGAGCTAAAATCTCCGGCCCACCACAATTTTTGGTATAGTTCCCAAGGCCGAAACATTTTGTTTTTTTCTGCTGTAAATGATCTATTATGAGCTCCAGTTCCAATCCTTTAAGAAAATTTCTCTGTGATATTTTGCACTTGTTATTTTCTTTATAAATTATCAAACAATTTATGCCACATATGTTTAGGATTGAGTAAAACACACCATTGGCCAGTGCTTTGTATTTCAAGTAACATCATAACTGTGTAACTCACCAGAAACATCTATTCCACCTTCAGTTTTATTATTGAAAGTTTCTATCTCAGGGTTTCTCTATCAGTATTTCTATCATGGTGAAATATTGACATCAGCAATACTTGTTTGTTTTTCTTTGCAATGTGTAAGGCCAGAGTTATATCTTTCTAAAATCCATAGATTGTATTATACAATTCTGGTTTGAGATTGTAAAATTTCATTTGGAATTTCTGCTTTGTTCCTATGTACAGTCCTATGCTGGTCAACTGTGCTCTGTTAGGAAATGTAATATCAGTTGGAAACTAGTAAACCACTTGTTTGTCAAATTCCAATTAGTTTGGGAGATGGGAGCAACAAGTCTGTTCACAATATCATTTAGTTTATTACAGTATGAGTAAGGACCTGATGGCTGGGGTCTGTGATAAATGTCTAAATTGAAAGCATGATAAGTCTTTGTGTCTACAAGGACATAAATTTTTATGTTGTATTTTGACCCATCACTTTTTTGTAAATTTTTTACATTCACCATAAGAAATCTGTGTTAAGTATAGCAGACCTATGAGTACTTTTGGTTCAGCTAGTGAGGTGTCATAATAAATATATTTTAAAAATACGAACATTGGTACATACAGAACATTTTACTTACATTTCAGTCTTTGTTTATTCACAGTACATTGTAACATTTCCTCTGTTACAACTTCCAGCATTGAATGACAGTGTAGGCATACTGTCCAATATGTTTTACCCCTGCTGAGACCCTCAGTATATGTTGAGACCTAGTTCTAATATTGGACCATTTCATTTGGTTGTGTGGCCATTTTGCAACATCTTGACTAGTCAAATATGTACTTACTATTTTCTCCATTATTGGAATCAAGGTCTGCATTCCCTCTGTATCAGTTGATTCTTGCTCAGTCATTTCACTGTCATAGGAACTTTGATTCACATGGCCATTGTCAAAGTCATCATCACCATCACCATCATCATCGTCTACCCATATCACACTTCTGTTTTGAAAGCATGTATTTTACCATAGTCATCTTCATTATCCATGCATAAGTAATGTGATGATTCACTTTTGACCTTGCATCTCTATCTGGTTTTTTGTGTGCCATTGTACTGAATTCAGCAGCTACTTCTACCAAAAAAATTAAAAGAGAACTTTTTTTTTTTTAAAACAAATCTTGGAATGGTATGGGTCTATTGACCCTCTGTGATGCTCAGATAAACATACACAAAACCCATTAGAGCATAAAGGTAGGTCCAAATCCCATTTTGCCACTTTTGCACACATGCACACTCCTTGTCATTCATCATACCAAGATTGCTTCATCATACATAGATTGCTTTCTGTATCCCTCAGGGAAAGGTACTGAGACTCATAGCGGGCCACTATAATATTAAAGTACACATTTATAATAGAAAAGTAAAGGATGGGTTCACTGGACTCTGACTTATGCCACAAGGAAACCAAAGCTGTCATGTTTTATTGCATAGCATTTTGACTCTTGAGTTACATAGTATTGTAATGAGATTTGAACAGTAGAATTTCCTACTTCACCACACCCGGCTAGGCATATTTTTTTAAACAATATTAAAAATACATAGTATGGCAGGGGAATTTGTGCTGCTTCCAATATAAGAAACATGGAAAATACAGTTTTAGATCCTGAAATATTAGGCTTTTTAGAACATATTGTAATATGGAAAGTCAAAGAATGTTTAAAAGATGACATTGTACCATAAAATGAGGTCTTATGATGTACATGCATGGACATGTGTACTAAATAATCTTCCTAATTTAAAAATATTTAACATTATCAGAAATTGGTAATCCATTTAATTGGATGTTCTAGATTACATATTTTTTTATGAAATTTGCATTTGATGGTGAAATACATAAAATAGATACATTAAATAATTTCATGCCTTCTTAAATATTCTTAATATAACTACATGATTTGGGATCGTCATGAGCATTAATAATTGTTCTGTGTTGCAGAATTAGCTTCAAAAGTTATTGACACACTGATGCCTCTTTTGTTCTTAAGTGGGGTGACTTGCTTAAGTGAGTCAGCTAGGCTTTTTGAATTTTGTGTATACTCCTTTTTTTCTTGGGGTAGAATTCACATAAATTTTTTTGTGGCTCAAAATCTCTAGTACAGTTGGTATGTATTCCTTGAGTATCAACGACAAGCCACTTATTTTTAAGGAAATCCTGTGCTAGTTCCCATTCTAGTTTTCTTTTTAAAATTTTTTTTTGACTGGGCATTTAAAAAGTGTAGACTTTAGTAACCTTTACTACATTTACAATATAAAATTAAAGTAAGAGTCAATTCTGCATGAAAGCATATTCAGGACTTGCCTATAATGAAAGGATTTGTACTTTAGTGAGTGAACTTTCTGGCATCTGTTTGGTTTGCCTTATATCTTGTTTAATTATTGTTCTTTTTCTGCCTCCCCCAGCATCCATCAAAATTCACATTAGCTTATTAGGCATTTATTTCTTGTGTTAGTAGATTGTTTCAAAAGCCCATTTTCCCAATGGCCATCAGAGTTTGAGATTTTTTTAAATTTTTAAATTGTTTAAATGTTTTGAAGTTAAACTGATAGTATTTAGAAATACAATATTTATCTATGGCCATACCATCCATTTGATGTTACTTAATCTCAGGAGCTAAGCAGTAGAAATAGAAAAGCTTGGGTATATAATCCAGAATATCCCCCATATCCTATACTGCAAAACAGCCACTACTAGCTGTGTTCAAACAAGTTTTACTTGCTTGACCCTTACTTTCAGATTCTGATATGGTGAAAGTTCCATAGATGGAAAATCACTGTGGAGGGAATAGTCTTAATTGTAGACTATCTACCAGGTATCATTGAACTTTTTTCAAGCAATTATTTTTCCTTTTGTAGTTAATTCTGTAGGAAATTTAATGAAACAAAATTTTAACATTTCGTTATATTAGGCATGATATGTAAAATTAAGCCAGTACCATTTTAATACACTGTATGCTGTCCGTTTGGCATGTCTTTTTGTAGACCCAGCCTAAAGTATTAAGTTTGAGAAATAATAAAAGGACCTCTTTGGTTTTTTTGTGGTTTTTTTTTTTTTTTTTTGGTTTTTTATCGATACCGGGGATCGAACTCATGACTGTGTGCTTGCAAAGCAGGTGCTTAGGCCACTGAGCTAAATCCCCAGCCCCTAAATAGTAAAAGGACCTCTTAATAAGTAATGTAATTTAACTATTAATTATAGCCCCTCAAAGGATTTCTAAAATATTAAAGTTCCTTGGTGTTTGTAGATTAATTGAAATTTAAAGGTGAGACTTTACTTTGGACATGAGTGGAGCTTAATATTATTTATACTTTCTTTGGCTTACCTAATTTTATGTAAAGTTTATATCTGTATGTACTGAAGAGTACAAAAATTTTAAATTTTATGATAGAATTTTACTTATTTTTATTATATTTTATTAATATTATTATTTGCCTTTTTGAAACAGGGTCTCGTTATATGGTTCAGGCTGGCCTTGAGCTCACTTTGTAGCACAGACTGGTCTCAAACTTGCAGCAAGTGGAGTAAAATTCCAGAGAGTGAAGGAATGGAGAAGGTAAGGAAATTAATGAAGATCATATAATGGGGACCTGATATAGTAAGGTTCATGCTTCAGCCGCCCAAGTGCTGGAATTATAGGAGTGTGCCATCATGTCTGGCTCAAGTTTGATATTTTTAATAGTGAAACTTTATTACTCAGATTTTAAGCTCAGCTGTGTATTGTCATGTCTTATATGTGGTAATCACATACAATATTAATAGTAGCTACAATTCTGACAGTACAAGATAGTTTTATGTTTTCTCATGTAATCTTCAGAACAGCCTTTTGAAAGAGGAAGGGAAAGGGAAATAGTAATTTTTTTTCCTTCCCTTTTACAGGTGAAGAAATTAAGAAAATGGAGCTAGTGATATTTTTTTAAAAGGAGAAAAAGGGAAAATCATGAGAATAAATGCATTAATAAATAGAGATGAATAGAGAGAGGGTTTGTTTGTTTCTTTGTTTTTTTTCCATCTGTCTAAGTTCTGGGGACAGTGAACAAACAAACAGACACCAACCAAAGAGCCAAAATGGTAGGAAACCAGCAAGGTTAGATGGACTTTGTTATTAGAGAGTTGTGCTATTTCTTTTCATTTCTTCCTGTTTATTTTAACCATTTAGTAATGATAACTTGGGACAGTGGAAAATGTCCTTTTTTTGTAGTTCATATTTATTGAAGGAAGCTTTTATTCATCTATTCATTTTTATTGTGTTAGGTAAAGGGAGCCTTTAGCTATGATCAAATAAGGAAATGAAAAAATTAGGTACAGGTGCATAGGCAAACCACATTATATAACTGGAGTTTAAATTTCTAGGATTTTCTTGCCTAGACTTAACTGCATACAGCCAGGTGCGATGATGCACGTCTGTAGCCCTGTTACTCAGAACGCTGAGGCATGAGAATCTCTTGGGTGTGGATCCTAAAGCAAGACCTTGTCTCAAACGGTCAATTAATCAATCAGCAAATAAATGAATTGTTAAACCCTGGTTTTCTTTTTAATTTTGTAAAGAAGTTTATTTGACTCAGTTTTTTTCTTCTTCCTTTTATGATTAGTACAGTGGTACATTGGTTTATAAACACTTGTTTGCAAACAGTTTGGTTCACAAACAACATTTGGCAAAATTTGGTTTTTGCTTGCAAACTCAACCGTGGCCATGTTTCCCACACAAAGGAGTGGCCATCTTTTCCAAAATTATGGAACAAATTAAGTTTGTAAACTGAGGTACCATTATGTAAGTTTGTGACGCATAATGAATATATTCATTGTGAGGAATTGGTATATACACATACCACATCTTGATCTTTTTTACTTTCCTTTCCCCACCTGCTTCCTTCCATATCTCATCCCCAGATCCCTTTTGTATCTCCATAAAGTCTCAACTGTTTCCTATCATTTGTCTTTTATTTTCCTTCTAAATCATTCATATTTTGGGTTTCTCATATCAGAGAAACTGTGCAATATTTAACCTTTTGTTTCTAATTTATTTATCTTCTCAAGTTGTGTCTGTCTTCCTACAAATGACTCAAATGTGTCATTTATGGCTGAGTAGTACTCCATTGTATATAGATAGCCATTCATCTGTTTATGGACATACCTAGGCTGCTTTCAAGATTTAGCTATTAAAGTCCTCTTTCAAAATTGTCATATCATCTTACTATAAAAATCTTAGAGCTTGAAGGTACTGATCAAAGGGTGCTTTTAGTTTCTTAGATGAAGAAACTAATGGACAAAGAATTTGGAGCTTGCATTTTTAGACTTCCATGTCAGTATTGTTTGTTTGGGGGGGGGAGTTGTTTGTTACTTTCTACTAGAACTTGTTGGTAAGATGCTCTTGACATACTTAAAAAACAGATCTTCCGTATTATCTTTAATGTGTATGTTTGGTTAACATTGCTACTTTGTCAAAATAAATTTAAAAATACAAAGTTGACTTTTAATTTTGTGATGAACATTACAATTGTTTGTTTAATTTTAGGTGAATTGACATATGCAGAATCTTGGTTATTTTGAAGATGTCTCAGCAGAATACTGCTTCCTGTTTAAATTACAAATAGCATCAAGAATTTTCAGAGCAAAAGAAATTGAAATTATTAGATCATGCCATCTGAACAGAACAAGTTATTTTGTGATAAAGAAGAAACTACTCTAAAAATAGAATATGGAATGAAAAATCTGGTAGTTGATACTGTCAAATCAGTACCTAAACCAAAAATTTCAGAAAGTATTTCTCATCATGAACTAAAAAATGTAAAAATTGACTTGCCGAAAGTAAATATTCCAAATGAAGTCCTAATGAAACATGAAGTCAACAAATACAGAAAATTATTTTGTAGCAAACCACAGACTGCAAGAAAATCTATCAGTAGAAAGACTGTAAGCTGTGTAGAAGAATGCACATTGCTTCAGAAATCTGAGAGAGCAGAAGAAGAGGGTATAAAAATGTCTGCAAAAATACTCAACTTCAGCTGTTTAAAATGTGGTGATAACACTCGATATAGCCCAAATGACTTGCAGAAACACTTTGAAATGCAGCATCATGGTGAATTGCCTTCATATCCTTGTGAAATGTGCAGTTTTTCAGCAAATGACTTCCAGATATTTAAACAACACCGCCAAACCCACAGAAGCACTTTAGTAAAATGTGACATTTGTAACAGTGAGTGTGTATACACTTTATTGGACTTGACGAAACATTTCATATCCACACACTGTGTTAATGGTAATTTCCAATGTGAAAAGTGCATATTCTCCACCAAGGATGTTGGCACATTTGTTCAGCACATTCACAGACACAATGACATTCATTATAAATGTAGTAAGTGCCAACATGTGTCTTTTACCAAAGGAGAGCTTCAGAAGCATCTTCATGTTCATTCTGGTAGTCTTCCTTTTACTTGTCAATATTGTAGCTATGGTGCCGCCAGGAAAGACCATCTTGTAAAACATGTTATAACTTTTCACAAAGAACATTTATATGCAAAAGAAGAACTGGAGAAAGATAAATATGAAAAGAGGATGGCAAAGACTTCAGCAGGACTTAAGCTAATACTGAGAAGATATAAAATAGGTACATCCAGGAAGGCGTTTTGGATACGTAAGAAAGTTAACAGTGGAAGTGACAGAAGCATCAACAAAAACACTCAAGTGCTTAATGTAATAAACAATACACAGATTAAATCTGAAGACCAAAGTTATGTTGGTCAAGAGAATTTAAATGAAGAGAAAGGTGAGAGACTAGGTGAGAGACTACATTGTGAGAATAGTGATATGCCCACAGAGTCAGAGTCAGAAAAGCCAGTCTTTCTAGACAGTGGACAGTGTAATAGAGCTGATGAGAGATCAAATTCTACTTCAGATTTCTTGAAGACAGCTCTACAAGGACCCACAGTGTTAATGGTAAAAAATAATAAAATCACAGTTCCTGCAAACTATAGTGCTAAGTTTATGGGCTTCAGGATGGTGGATGGAAGACAACATATTGTAATAAAGTTGTTGCCTACCAATAAGCAGAATTTATATTTATCAGCTTCACAGTCAGATGCTGCAAAGGACAGTACTGCTAATTTGCAGCCCCAGACTTTGGATACCACTGGATTTTTGACAGGAGTGACAACTGATTTAAATGATCCAGTTTATGTGAAAACAACTCCATTTTCATATTCATCTCCTACACTTTCAGGGAAAGTCATTTCAGAAAAAGAAACGGCTTTGATGAATGAAAAGAATAATATGCTTCAGACTGTGGATTACAATAAAACTGTGTCTTCTTTGCCAGCATCACCAGAACTGGTTAGCACATCAGTGAGTTTGACCACAAAAGTAGAAGGAAGAGATACTGTTGACTTATGGGGAAATCGTATCACTCAACATCATCCCGAAATATTAAATACCATCAATAAAAGTCCGGATAAAGTCAACCGTAGTACCAAACCAAATGTATATAGCAATGGAGATATGCATAACTATTGCATTAATTATGTCAACTCTGAGATACGTGTTGACTCCTCCAACCAAGGATCGTTACCTTTCCATAATTACTCAAAAGTGGATAACTGTAATAAACGTCGTAGGCTTTCAGGAACACCATTATGTGAAAGTTTTCAAAGAGAATCTTCAACAAGCAAACTAACTGTTCAACAAATTAGTGAGACAGTTCTATCACTGGTGAGGAAGGAGAGCTCAAACCCAGATAGCCTATTAGCATCTGTCAGCCTTTTAAATGATAAAGGTGGAACTCTAAAAATGAAAGCTGAAATGGAAGAGCCATGTGTTTTAGAAAAAGGACAAAATACTGATGGACAAAACCTCTACACTAATGAAAACCAAAATTTAGAGTGTGTGGTTGAACAACCAAAATGGAATGACTTTTCTAGTGCTGATTCACTTATGCCTAGGATCACATCTGTTTTCTCTCTCCAGAGCCAACAAGCATCAGAATTTTTGCCACCTGAAGTAAACAAATTACTTCAGGAGGAATTAAAACCAAAATATATAAAACAAGACTCTAAAATTCCAAATAAAAGCCTGATACTTCATTGTGACCAGTCACTTCAAAAACACGAGGGAGAAGGAACAGTAGTTAAATCATCAAAAGGCATCAAAGTAGAAGGTGTCTTCCCAGGTCCATCTGGCAGTGTTGGTGTTAGTATGGCTACAAATGATCTAAATTTAAAATTTAATGGAAAAGATAAACAAGTGCTATCAGTTTCACAGGATGTTAGAGATTCAGAGAAGACACCTAGAATTTCAGGTATTAGCACATTACTTAAGACTCAGTCAGATGCAATAATAACACAGCAGCTTGTAAAAGACAAATTACGAGCCACTACACAAAGTTCAGGTTCTTTATATATGCAGAATCCACTTCTAAACTCAGAGCAGAAAAAATCTTTATTTGTTCAAACTCCAAAAGGTTTTTTTATACCATTACATGTCGCTAACAAGCCTGGATTCCATGTTGTTTCAGGAAGACCACTTCCACTGGTTAATACACAGGGTGTGCCTGCTTCTCTTCTTTTAAACAAGAAACCTGGGATTATTTTGACATTTAATAAAAAACCTGAAGGTGGTTCTGCTCTCAAAACTGAGAGTGCACCAGCATGTGGAATTACAAATAAGGAGCCTTGCAAAACATCTTTTTTAAAGGTAGAACAAAATAGTAATTGTCTTACACCTGTGCTTTGTTCCAGCATTGGCAGTTGTTTGAGCATGAAAAGTAGTTCAGAAAATACATTGCCATTGAAAGGTTCTTATGTTATTAAAACATCAAATTCTTCAGCGAAAGTTGTCCCTACTACTAATGTGTTGTCTGAGCAGCAAAGCACAAAGTTGAGTATCTCGGATGAAGTAAAACAGCCGAATGAAAAGTTTCCAAAATCTCCTCTTTATACCCTTTTGCCTGATGGCAAACAAGCTGTTTTGTTGAAATGTGTGATGCCAAATAACACTGAGTTGCTTAAGCCCAAGTTAGTTCAAAATAGTACTTACTATCAAAATATACAGCCAAAGAGACCTGAAGGAACACCACAAAAAATACTGCTGAAAATCTTTAACCCTGTTTTAAATGTTACTGCTGCTAATAGTATGCCAATTAGCAGCTCTGTATCCTCATTTCAGAAAGACAGTGTACCTTCTAATGAGACTATAGAGCAGAAAGAGCCGGAATCTTCTAGAGATGCCTTACCTTTCTTAATGGATGATGTGATGCCAGCGAATGAAATTGTTATAACTTCTACTGCAACATGCCCAGAAACTTCTGAGGAACCAGTGTGTATCAGTGACCATCCAGAGGCTAGAGTATTAAGGTGTAAAACAAATTGTACAGTTGAGAGAAATTTCAACAAAAGAACTTCGAAAAGAAATTTTTCAAAAATAAAAACTCAGGTAAGAAGCAAAGATTCTGAAACTGCCTTTGTATCTAGAAACAGAAACTGTAAACGAAAGTGTAAGGATAATTACCAAGAACCTCCAAGAAAGAAATCAACATTGCATAGAAAGTGTAAGGAAAAGACTAAAGCTGAAGATGGACATGAAACATTTGGATTTAGTGGACCTAGGCTTTCAAAAGATTCAGTCAGAATTTTGCGACTTTTCCCTTTTTGCTCCACGCAGCTTGTGAAATGTCCTAGGAAAAACCAACCTGTTGTGGTTTTGAACCATCCTGATGCAGATACACCAGAAGTAGCAAATGTAATGAAAACTGTCACTAAATTTAATGGACACATAGTTAAGGTTTCATTGTCGAAAAGAACTGTAAGTGCTTTACAGGAACCCATTTGTTGTAACACTTCTGAAACAGTTTTTGATGATTTTTCCAAGAGGCATAAAACATTTAAACCTGTTAGTTCTGTGAAAGAAAGGTTTGTGCTAAAACTAACACTCAAAAAGACAAGCAAAAATAATTACCAGGTTGTGAAAACTACCTCTGAAAATATCTTGAAAGCTAGGTTTAACTGTTGGTTTTGTGGTAGAGTATTTGACAATCAGGATGCTTGGGCTGGTCATGTGCAGAGACATTTAATGGAAGCTACTCGGGATTGGAATATGTTAGAATAGTTTACCAAAGTTACTAACAGAAAGCAAAATTAGAAGGAAACAGTGGATTTAGTTAACATAGTATGGACATTTTCTACTCAGAATAGTTCCTGCCATATTTTAGAAGTTGGTAATACTTCCATGGAAGAGTGAAAACTTTTGTGTGGTACTTGAAAATGCTACCATTACACACATAAGTTTTGCGAGTAAAACACCATCATAGATGTATCTTGATTTAATTTCTTAAAATATTTATGGGAAGTTATGGTTAAAGAAAATTTTGATCAGTTTTTCCAGTTTAGTTCCTTTGGGATTCTTAGTACAGGTAATGGCAGACAACTTCATTCCCACCAGCTTCCACTAGTCTTAAGTACAGCTCCTGTGAAGATGGAGAGCTCTTTTGCAATGTAACTGAGTTTCTCATCACTTACAAATATACAGACACTGAGTAAAGAAGTTGCTCTACATTGCTAATTCAGTTCATTTGAAGAATATTAGACTCCTTTGCAAAGTACATTTAAGTTATCATAGTTACATTGTTCTTTTAAGAGTTTTGGGCAAGTAAATCTTGTTTTGTCTTAAACTGTGTCCCGCGTCAGAGATTAGAACACCTTTCCAAGGCGATTCTCTTTTGTTCTAAATGGCTGTTTTGCAGTACATGGGCAGTCTTGAGAAAAAAAATCAGTCTGTTTAATTTTAAAATCCAATTAATCATTTCTAGCATTTTTGCAAACTAGATTATATTTACCAGTCATACTCTTGCATAGATCTATGCCTGTCTTGATTTAAGGTTTTTTTTCCTCATAAACCAACAAGCGTCTTTTTTTTTTTTTTTTTATGGTTGTTGTCCCTTTAAAAACCATAGAACATAGAAGCACTTCAAAGGGAATGGATTCTCCTGAAAATCAAAATTTTTACACATAATTTGAAACGATTAACAAAGTAGATCACGTATTTGTATGTTTAATTACTAGTATTTAAACACTGTAAACGTCCAGATTAGGACAAACTTCTTGGCTGTGTGTGTATATGTGTTTATTTCTTTTGTTTGTTTTTAAACAGGGTCTTGCTACGTCAGACTGGCCTTGAACTTGCTATATTTCCCAGGTTGATCTTGAATTTACTGTCGTCCTACATCAGCCTTATGGGCATGTGCCACCAGGCCCAGCTAGCCAAACCACTTTTGTTAGCAACTTTTCGGTATGACTAACAGCCCGGGTAAATACATACTAAAAATAGGTTTTTGAAAGTGGGAAAGCATTAACAGTGGACACAGTGTTACTTCATAAAACTTTAGATTCCTGAGGGACATGCCCGCTAGAGTTTCAAAATGAACATTTTCATGAGAATAGAATCAGTAGATACATACTTTTCATCTTTCAGGCTTGCGTTGTCTTGTTGGATCATTGGATAATAAAGTTCTTATCACAAAATTATGTGCTATATAATTTTTGTTACATTGTTAACTATAAGTTAATGATATTTTCATTAATTGGATAAAAACTTCAGGGCTTTTTTTCTGTATATAGCAAATTAAACCTGTACATAATTTTGTACTTTGTTATGTAAATTTTGCACAGAAAGTTTTTGACAAAAAATTAGTTTAGTTCTGTGCATGCACTAATAAAACTGGTTGTTTAATTTAAAATGAATATATTTACAAGGCTTTACTCATGTTTATTTTCTTGGTTTTTATGTCAGATGTAGATTTTTTTAAGTAAATTGATTTTTCAGGGATTGAACACTATTAGCAAGTGCCTAAAAAAGATGTGAAACAGTTTACATATGTCAACTGTAACAGTAGGTCCCAAATGGGCCCATTCCCCTAATAGTTTTATTTTAAAGAAAGCCATACATAGATGCTTCAAGCTATCTTGCTATGCAGATGATACTCGTACTGTTTTTGTGCAGTTTATCTACTTTCTTAGTGAAGTATTTTTTTGTATGAAACCTGTTAAAATTGTGTTTCTTAAATTGAGCCTAAGAATGGAGTTAATTGGAAATATATAGTATATATTAATGTATATCATGTTTAAAGAATGGTAAGCATTGTTAACTTCATTGTTAATGAACATTTCCTTCAATTAAAGTTACATTAAATTTGTGTTTATATGAGGGTTTTTTTGTGCTACAATCTGATGGAAATTTTATTCTATCGGGAAATATGTAGACTTTTAAGTGGTGGGGAACTATTTTTTTTAACACTAGTAAACTACAAAATAAAGTGTTGGGACTTCTTTTCCTCCAAAAAATATAGATGAAATTTTGTTTGAGAAAGATCACATTTACTGTGATCTCTCTATGGTTTTGCTGTCAAGGTAAACCACAGAGAGTTTTATGCTTTTCAGGGCACTGTTAGAAATAAAATTGAAATTTTATTGTTACGGATACATCAGTAATGAGGTGTTGCCTTCTGTGAATAGAGAGAAGGGAGCTCATACCACTATGAATGTACATTTCAGAATAGCCATACCACAAAAATAAATGCAATGTTGGGATATACAGTTCTTGTCTTAAAGTTTTTAAATTCATTTAAAATCATGACCCAGATATGAGAGTAGGAGCTTGTGTTTTGTAGTTTAGGAATTGTTAAGAGTAGGAAAAAAGAAACCCAAACCCTCTATCCATTATTTTTTCTTGACTAAAACTGAACTAAAAGTGGTTCTCCAAATTGCATTCACTATACTGAAGTGAAGAATTATGTGTTGATTACTTTTCTCTCACTTGAGACAAAATAAATACCTGACACCCAAAATTAAGGAAGAGAGGAAGGATTTATGTAGTTCACAGTTTGTGCAGGTTTGAGTCTAATCAGTTGTCTCTAAGGCAGGTTGGCGTGGCAAAGGGGTCACTGGGGCCACTGTTCACGGCTGTGGAAGACAGCAAAAGCACCCTAGGGTAGATGTAGCACTCACACCCATAATCCCAACATTGGACCCTAAATTAATCATAAATTCTAGAAGCCTGCCTCCCTGACTGTGCTAGGCTTTGGGGGAGCATTCAGACACAAATCGTAAGTTAGTTTTTTTCTTTTTTAAATCAGATTTCTAGGTTGAGGACTGATTTTTTCTGTTTATCATTTCTATTGAAGTGGGCCTCTCACTATTTGACATTTACTTAAACAGTAATTCACAGGGGCTGGGGATTTAGCTCAGCGGCATAAGCACCTGCCTTGCAAGTGTGCGGATGTGAGTTTGAAGTCTGGTACCAAAAAGAAAAAGAAAAAAAAAAAAACAACTTCACGTTTCAGTTTTTGCTAACTATAATAATACAGATTGAAATTTCTTTGGGTGTAGTGTTTTGTTTTGTTTCCTTTCAGGCCGGTCTTGAACTCACTGTGTTGCCCAGACTGGCCTCAAACTCATGGCAATCCTGCCTCAGCCTCCTGAGTGCTGGGATTACAGGCATGCACTACCATGCCTGGCAGTATCACAGATTGAAATGTAGTAGTTTTTTGTGAAAATACTATGTTCCATAAAGGAGTCAGTATTTTCAGGTGTCAAAGTGTCAAATGATTATAATTTAGGCCTTATTGTATGTAGAATCACTGTCACACTAACCAAATCTCATAATACAGAGCAAGCCATGGGCAATACATACATGAATGTGACTTTTGTTAAAATTAATTTACAAAAACAATAATCTGGGTTTGACCCACAGCCATAGTTTACTGACAGCTGCTTGAGTTTCCGTAAGGGTCTTTGAGATTTTCATGACAAAACATTAGTTTTATAGTTTCTGATATGTACTATCTGTGTAAATGAGTTTAAAACTAAGTTGTGTACATATAAATTTGCCAGTGTAGACGTGTATGTATAAAAATGAGAAGTATAATTAAAATAATTTTGGATAAATTATGCTAAAAGACAATTTATGGAGGATTAAAGTGAGGTAAATGGCGAAGTTATGTCCAAGTTAAATAGAAAATAGATTATAGTTCTTTTACCATTTTAGTCATTTGAAATGGAGTTCTTGCCATAGGAGAGAATGGAAGTGAGATGAAAGCACAATATAAGTTCCATACAACTAACTGGCTTAACAACGGTTCCACTTTACTATTCATTTGTTTACTTAAGTTGGGATATACCTATTTGGGGTACTTGTTTAGAATCCTTACTCCCAGTGGAGTATCTTGACTTCATCGGGGAACCTAGCTGGCAACTTGCTGGAGGAAATCAACTTTTTCAAGGCATTGTTGCTGATTAAAGAGTACCATTAGTAGAAAGTTTTCCTACAATGCAGAGTTGAGACCATTTATTTTGATACTCATTGGTTTAAATGTGCTTCCTTTAAGAACTGGACAGTTGAGAAGTATCCTAGAAAAGGTGTTTGATGGAGTCCTCATAGAATCCAAAACAACCTATACTAACCAGTGCTCCCAAGTTTAAGAATATTCTTCTTTAAAAAGAATATTTACAGCAATGTAAACTTTAGAGAAAATAGTGTAGGAAAAATGTTAATGCACATGTATTTTGAAAGTCATGATTAAGAACAAGGTAAGAATTTACTACATTTATATGTTCTTAGTAAAGACATTTTTATGGTGTAACAAGAATTCTTGCAGAGTAATTTTAGAGTGTTTCAACCTAAAGTGAGGATTATGGTCAAGTTGCAACTCGAAATGCTTTCAAATAAGGAGTGAAACACTGATTTCTGCAATCATCAATGTTATGAGTTACTGCCTAGGTAAATGGATAGGGAAACAATGAAAGTTTAAGGCATAAGAGTAACATGCTATTTGCAGATGCTTGTTTTCAACATCTTGAAAACCCAAAGAAAGGAACCTAATGATTTCTGGATTTCCTCCACAGTAATCGAGTGACAGTGAAAGAACACTTACTAACAATAAAAGGTATAAAATAATGTTAAGAGTTACAGGAATTTGCCAAAGGAAAAATCATAAAAACCTAAATGGGAGAATAGACAGTACCTTGGGCTGTAGTATTACAGATACTCACTTGGCAGATTGTGTTTTTTTCACAGCTTTGTCCTCTTCCTCCTCCTGGCACTCCCTCCTCCCTCAATAGCTGTTCCACTGTGCTAGAGCATTCAGTAAAGAACCAGTTTCCCACCAGTTCCTTTCTCTCAACCTCCTTTATAGCTCAGAGGGATTCTTTTCAGGGGAGGGTTGGAGTGGGGTTCAAAGACTACCAAGTTACTGCTTATTATAAAGGACCTATAGGAGAGGTCTTCAGAGAGGATGATGGAGAGGGAGAGAGCCAATAGGAAGTATAGATTCATAGAAAAGGAGAGATAGTTTGCATATTTATAAAGGCCATAAGCTTCATAATAGGTGGTCAACAAGCTGGAGACCCAAGGATATTGGAAATAGTCCAAATCCAAAAACTCTAGCATCAGCAAAACCAGTGATGTATTTCTCTGACCAAAGACCTGCAAATCCACAGGGCTGTCAGTATTCAAAGTCAGACAACCTGAAATTCTGATACCCAGAGGTGAGAGATGTGCTTCAGTTTCAGAGAGGAAACTAACCTCCATATTCAGTGCACAGATGCACACCTGTCTCCAGAAATACTTTGATGACAGAATCCATTAATAATATGATTCAGCTTTCAAGGCACTATTTAGTCAAATTGATACCTAAAAGTAGCCATCATAGTGCTCCACTTTATTTTAGACATACTGTCACATTTAATGCTCCAGAGTATTACTGAAAATGCAAGACTCCCATTAGCAGTTTTTTTTCAGATAGAGCATTTCATGTAGCAACACTCAGGTGTCTTAATTTTTCTGTTATGCTGAGACTATCATCCTTGGTTGACAGTAAAAATACTATTCTTGGTTGACAGGGTTTGCTTTTGTTTGTTTTTTCCACTCCGCATTCTGACTTTGTTATTCTACTGCCTTTGGGCTCTATTGTATCTGATATGCAGTCAACCGAAGATTTTCTTGAGATGCTTTTGTACGTGATGATTCACTTTGCTTGCAGAGGTTCTCTTTGTCCTTGTATTTTAATGTTTTGATTATGAGGTTTCTCAGGATGTGTATCTTTGAGCGTATTCTATCTGGAGGCTCTGGAGCTTCATAGAAATGATAAATTGTTTTTCATCAAATTTGGGAAGTTTTCAGCCATTATTTTTTCAGATGTTTTTTCTAATGGTTTTCTGCCATGTCCTTCTGAGACTGTATGTGAATGCTGGTATTTATAGTGTCCCATGGGTCTTTGAGGCTTTCTTTTACTTTACATTCCTCAGCATTCATAATGTAAGCTGACCTATCTTTAAATTCACATACCATCCTGAACCTCCATTTTGGAGGGCAGGCTGCTTCCATGCTCACCCTCCCATCACAGACCCCAGACCTCCACTTTGGAGGGCAGGCCACTTCCACACCACCTTCCCACCCTCCCATTCTCAGGGGCTTCCCAGCCCCACCTTCTAGACCTAGTACTGTTGTTGATCTTCGACTGCACCTCCTCCTCCCAGAACATTGGAATGCAGTGGATTAATCTTTCTGGGTTGATGGGAGACTCAGTAACCCCTCATCCAAACAGAAGACTTCAGCAGGCACCCGTCAGTATGGTGAGCTTGCCCCTAAAATAGAGGTCTTCAGTGGGTAAACAGGAGCAGTAGAAAAGTTTTGGTGAGCTTGACAAGAGTGTGGGTGAGTCCTTCCTCCATACACAGAACATCAGGTGAGTTGAGGAGTGTGCCAATAAGGCCTCACCCAAACTGGAGAAAATTAAAAGGGCTTAAAGGCACCCAGTGACACAGTATGGACCCAAACAAGACAAACACTATAGACAGGGAGATCTGGTGACCTAGAACAACCTGAAGACATAGTAACAGTGGGAACTAAGGGTTGACTTACATCAATACTCCTAGGCTTGTCAGTGTAGGAGGAATATAGGAGCCACCCAACAGGTCTTGTAGAAGGAATTCAGGTGACTAGCCCTCTTCATCATGGTACCCAGCAATCGGACAAACATCAACCACACAGTAGGCCCCTATGATATATACTACCGACAGTTGAGACTAGTGGGATTGAAAGACCAAATATTAGCCCAAAAGGTGAAAATGACAAAATGAAAAAGCAAAATGAAATCTCAAACTTGTAGTCCATCAGAAGCAAGTACAGGAGACATTGAAATAG